ATTACTAAAGAGATGTTTTTGAGAAATAATCTGAAAGTCAACATAATAGAGAGGAAGATATTAGGCAGGAGTGTGTTCCTGTGTCTGGGTGAAGTGACCTTCTGTATAGCCTCCTTATTATCTTTTTGGTAAGAGATAAGTGCCTCAGTAGTCCACACTACATTGCCAATGTGTATCTTAAGTTTCTTTCTGAAAAGATCTGAAAAATAAGTAATCTAGAGAAAACCTTAAAAAAGTATTATTTTGGACATCTATATGCACTTGGTTAACCCTAAAGTTGATATTAAAAATGGAAATGCTACAGATAGTGTACATCCTGTATTGTTGACATATTTGATGCTTTTTCATATATTTGAAGTATTTTGTTTTTCCTTTTTTTAAACAAATGTGAATAAACCTTGCAACTCTCAGATCATATGTGATCCAGATAAATTCTTCCTATCCTATATTGTGAAAACAAACTTGGATTGTATAAAAGCTGATCCATCCAGCGAATAGATTTTAAACATAAAAATATATACTTTAAAATTGTCTTTAACACTTTAGAAACTATGAAAATGTATACACTTCTCTGAAGGAAGAGAACACTAACATCTTTAATAAAATATTAATTGGACTTTGTTTTTATTGCTTGGTTCACTTTGATTTAAAAAGAAGCTATTAGTAACATGTCTGATTTGTTTAATTGCCTCTAAACCCCAAAATAAGATTAGAATACAAAAGCCTTCCTTTCACTATTGATGTTTGCTTAATTATTCAGTTTTTTAAAAAGGTATGTTATAAAATTGTTTTTGTATCTGCCAGAATAAACCATCATGGTTCCTTAAATCCCCAGGCATATATCTGTTAAATCCTCTCACTGGTTACCTGTTCATATAAGAAGGTATGTGGGGGTGAGTTTCACAATGAAGCAATATTATTATGCCATATAGTAGTACACATTGCAAGTCAGACTGCATTTATTTATAATTGCTTTTTCAAAAAAGTTTCTTTTTCTACACTGCAGTCCTATTACAGAGCACTCTCTCCATATTGTTCTTGCACAGTACATTTCAATCATTAACCCAATATAAGAAGACGAATTAAAAAATTAAGTATTGCACAATACTCAGTTTCCTTAGTTCAGAAAGATTGGACAGTTCCTTCTGATTAACAAAGTGAGTGAGTAAATTGTGTTTTTATAAATACTAATTTATTTAATAAAAATACAAAAATATAAATATACATATATAAAAATATCATGATGAATCAACACACAGACATTCTTTAACTCAATAAATATGGCAGTAATATTAATCTTTTTTTAATGTATATTTTTTAGATTATGTTACAATGCAGGTGCACACTGTCCCAGCTAGTAGGAAAAGTAATGCAAAGCAATTAAAAAACCCTAAGTTTCATTCTCATTATTAAAGGCACAAAAAGCCTTTTATTGTCTTTTCATTGTCAACAAAAACCTTTCATCAGAGGTTTCTAGACAGAGAGGGTGAGTTATAGATTTTTAAAAATCTAAATCATTCATATTCATTCACGTTGACTTATAGATTAAGTAAACCCTTACTAAGACAACACCTATTTTTTGTAAATTTTTTATTCCCAAGTAAGAGAGAGTAGGCCACTTTATCTAGTAACATAGACATGAATTCCACTAACACTGACCAGGTCACGGATTACTTTCTCAGTCTCGATCACTCTCCTCTCCACCATACATATCTGCTAGTTTTTTAAACCGAGGTCCCCAGTCACTGAGGTAATCATAGTCTTGGTTGCCATCTGTGGTAAGCGATTCAAGGGAGCTGAGCGAATTTGCTATGGAATCATTTCCTTCGTAGGCATATGTTGCTAGTGAATCATAAGGAGGAGCAGCTGGGTCTGAATCATTTTCCTTTAACCTTCTATGAATAAAATCTTGGACATCAATGTTTTCCCAAAGAGGTGCAGTCCGTCTTATCTGAAATATAGTTTCTGGGATAACGTCTCTTCTCATCTTACTTTCCTCCCTCGCTTCTGGATTTCTCAGTGTGCCAATGTCAAAAGCCTGGGTGTCCTCTTCCCCACCTCCTTCATCATTGTAGGTCACTATGTTGTCCCGAACGTCATCCTTTGAGATGATCAAGGGTTCTTTCTTCCTCTGTCTCTTGAGAGCCATAAACAAGACAACTAATACTGAAAGGAAACAGAAAATGAATGAAGAAATGGGGAGTTAGAAATTAAATAAATGAGCAAATATTTTGCATTATCTGTTGAACTGGAAAAGTTTTAAGACTGGGATGGGATTTTTAGTAGGAAAATAGTGATAAAAGCTGTCTCCAAGTTGAAGTTGATAAGGAAAAATATGAATGATTTTATAGCTGTCAAAAACTTTTGCTTTGTTAAACCTGTGGGGACAATGATTAAAATATTATATATTTCAATATATATTTGAAATAGATATACAAATAAGCTGAAGTTGAAAAGCAGACAATGCCTTAAAATATATCATCCTGTTAGGGTTTGACTTTGATTTTAGTTTTGTAAAGTATTGCCTTCCTGGCAGTCACTGAGGGTGATTTCATCAAATGTAGTTGAATCTCCTTGGAAAAAGTAATTCCCACTCTTGAAAGCTAGTGATTTAGGTATTCCTAAGTGCCTAATTCACTTTTGAAAATGGGATCTACAGGTCCTTCTGAAAATAAGAACCTGAAGACCTTCAGCTGCCAATATTATTGACAAAACTGTTTTTGGCTTCAATGATTGCAAGAACTGAAATCCAATCTTTGCTCCTAAGTGTTTCTTTTTAAAAACATGACCCCCCTAGTTTAAGAAATGTTAGTTGAATAACTCTTCCTTTTGGAGAGGTAAGGATTGACACAAAAATGAACCTCTACAGACGGAGATGAAAAACTAAAGTAAAGATTTGTAAATACGTTCTAGTGCCTAAACACTACTGATTTCAGTAGGAGTTCAATGCTTAAATGCATTTAAAAATCTCACTGTAGCTCCAGTGGCTAGAGTAAATAGGAGAGGCCAGCAAGATCATCTGTCAATGAGGCATAACAGTGGTTGCCGAACCGCACATTACAGTAATGTTGAGCAATTTGTTGAGTCTTAGGAGCAAAGTTTTTTCACTCTGAATGACTTGGGTATTCGTGAATAAAAGGGAAGACTGGACATGCTGTGGGCAGGGAGAGGACAACCAAGATCATCCACCTGCCATGGTACAATGCTGTGAATGTAAAGGCTGTTCTGTTCTGTCTTCTTTGTGGTTTTTGTATCTGTACAGGAGCCATTCTTTTCAAGTTTTCCTAATGCTATTCAAGTGATAGCCCACTTCAAAAAGTTTAAGAACTTTATATACAAGAGTAAGGCAGGTCACTAAAGGGTTATTATGAAGAAATTTCTTTCACAGCCAGGTACTTAATATGTCTCTCCTATTTTGGGTATGATGACACCAGTCTCCTATCCTAACATGCTACACCTTGTTGAACAATTAAATAAGGTGCCAAGAATCACACCAGCTGTAGACTAATAATTCTGTTTAGATGCTCTTCAGCCTTACACTACTCTGCATTCAGCTATGTCTGTAGCGCTAGGTAGAGCAGGGTCTCTGACCCTGGGGCCAAGAAACACAAAATGGTCACACTTGTTTGCATGGCGCTGGTCCCCAAGCCTGTTCTCAGTTTCATGTGCTATCATTGTGGTCCTAAGGCACACTATTAGTTTTGGTTTTAGTTCAAGGTTTCTGTACTAAAGCATTGCAGCTCAACAGAGTGACGTTTTCATAGTGAGCAACTAAGGGTATGTGTTTCATGGTACACATTTCATGCTCTATGTTGGGGCATGAAGGGCGGCTTTGAAGACACAGAGCCTGTTGACATGGTGTTAAGAACTATGGAAGGTGGAGAGCCTGATCTGGGAGAGTGTGAATGATAATTGTCTGCTGGAAGTGGTGCCCTGCAAGTTCTGCTGCTCAGACTATGCCTGGGCAATGTCCTGGGGAATCCAAGCTGGCTCATACCGAAACCAGGCTGGCAGCAGTGCTTGAACCTAAACAGTATGTACAATCACTTTGTCAGAGCTCAAGTACCCTCCCTTCCCTAATACAGATAAAGTTCCTACATATTACCCCTCTCCTAACAACTTCTGTGGTCCTCTGAATATTTACTGGATGTAGCTTGAATCTAGTCTAAAAACTAGGAAGAAACTGATCTCCTTAGAATTGTATAAACTGACACCTGTAAGCCTGTTACTCCTTGGCAAGCTGTGTTTGCTAGAACAAGTGGAAAGG